CACCTGGACTCTCTGAACTGGCAACAAAAGAGGATCTGGGAAAAATGAAATCAGAAATAATTACTCAGATTACAGCAAAGATTTTGCTCATGGTGCAAGACATGATTAATAAATCTAGAGAAGATACAGATAAAAAAATGATACTGTGTTAACACATTGTGGTGTGAAGTATAGAAGAAAGCAGAGGGCATCATTTACCAACACCAAGAAGCCAAAAAAGAGAATGAACACATCTAGTTAACTCAGCCACACTTCTTGGATGGCATTACAGAATGATTCTATGACCCATACTCCTCATCGCTAAATGCTTATTTTATCCAATTTCTACAAGCAGCACAAGGGCACAAAACTCACAAAGATGCAGTATTTTAGCATCCCCTCAGACAGCTGTAAGGATGCATGCCATGGTCTGCCAGGAACACAGAAACCCAAAAAACCCCTGCTTTGGACAGTCAAAGAAGGTGCATCAATCTCCGGGACATCTTACAATTAATCAAAATAAAAAGGGTTCTGTTAATCTGGTCAAAGACATTCAATGTTGCCCAAAGATTTTAACTGTCTGGAAGATTTTGGAATTTCTAGAAGGGCAATGTTTCAATTGGAATTCTTATCAAAGTATGATCACATAATTACTTCATTATATTAGAAAACCTGCTGAACCAACAGAACTGATTGTACATAAAGATACTATTTTGAAACTCTTTTCTTTGTAAACTAAACTGGAGAGGAGGAATCAAATAACTAGGGTCACAAATGTTAAAAACAAAACAAAACAGAACAAAAACTCAGTTCTTTACAGTGAGTGACCTGGTTCATCTTACACCTACTAGGACAGCTGCTATCATGAAACAACACAAGTCAGGAGTGGTTGCACATACTTCTATTTCCAGCACTCTGGGAGGCTGAGGCAGGAGGATCAAAAGTTTGATTCCTTCCTCCCCAAGCAATTTAGTGACTTGGTGAGAACTTCCTTGTCTCAAAATAAAAAAAAATGGGCTGCACTCTTTGTTCAAGAGGCAGCCCAGCAGATTGTCTCTTCTCCTTAATAAAGGCTTGTTGTGGTTAAAAAAAAAAAAAAAGATGTAGCTTAGTGGAAAGGCCCTGGGTTCAATTCCCAGTAGTGAGGAAAAAAAAAAAAGATGACAAAACAAAACCCCAGAGAAACTGGAGCCCTTGTACACTGTTGGTAAGAATGTAAAATTATATATATCCTCTATGGAAAAGTTTGGCAGTTCCTCAAAAAAATTTAAAATTGAATTACTCTATGATGCAGCAATTTGCTTCTGGGCATATACCAAAAACAACTAGGGGCTGGGGATTTAGCTCAGTGGTTCTGCTGCCTGCCTCGAAAGCGCAAGGTCCTGAGTTTGATCCCTGGTACCAAAAAATAAAAAATAAAAAACAAGGAAATCCTAGCTGGGCACAGTGGCTGACATCTATAATCCCAGCACCAAGGGAGGCTGAGGAAGGAAGATGGCAAGTTCCAGTCCTGCCTAGAAAACTTAACAAGACTGTCTCAATAAAAAAGGCTGAGAATATCGCTCAGTGGTACAGTGCTCCTGGATCTGAACCCCAGAACAAAAAAAAAAGGAAATCCTGATACATGTGACAACATAGATGAACCTTGGAGACATTAGGCTGAGAAATAGGGTGGTGACAAAAAGACAAATACGACATGATTTCACTTACATGTGGTAATGTCATCAAATTCATAGAAACAGTAGAATGGTAGTTACCAAGGGCTGAGGGTAGGGGGAAAAGGAAGAGCTACTGATTAATGGATACAAAGATTTTTACAAGACAAAGAGTTCTAGAGATGGATGGTAGAGATGTTTGTACATTCATTATTAATGTGTTTGAAGCCAGTGAACTACACTTGAAATGGTTAAGGCAGGAAGATTGTTAGGTATACATTAATAGAATTTTTAAAAATGAAAAACAGAAAAAGTAGCCTGGTATGTCTGTATTCACACTTAAGATGTTTCTTGGAGAAACATTCACTTGAGGACATCCATGTTTCCTATAGCCCATGAATTTGTTCAAATATAGTATTTTTCAGCACTGAGTAGGTTGCAGACAGAACTAGCCACTAGGGATGCAGTGATGCAAGGTCAAATCTCTTGAACTTAGAATGGGGAACCACTTATCCCCAACTAGTTACTGTGGTAAATAAAGCACTATGAAGGAGAAGGTAGTGCAACAAGAAAGAATAAGAGAATGAGAGACAGGAAATGTTTTTAAGTCTAATTACTGTTCAACCTGCTGTAATTTTAATTAATCAATTTTGTACTTTAAATGTACCAGAAGACTTAAAAACCTTAAAAGGTTTATTGTCAAGTCTCATGTAAGGCTAACTGGTTAATATCCACCCTCTCAAGTGCTGTATTTTGCAAAGCTAACTGGGGAACAAAGATTATCTGTATCAAAAGTGATCCTCTGGTACGACAAAACAACTGGGAAAAGTTAACCACTAACGGTTTTTAAATAACAATTTCATATAACTGAAACTTAGGGCCAACTTAAAATGTCTTTGTGAAAATTAAATGTTACATAGTTACTAGGCACCTAAAATCTGCCCCCTCAATCTTTTTGGGATTGGGCTCTCCTGCTCCTAAGCACAGCATACATCAAACAGCCAATTTCTTGCTAAGAAATTTAATACTGGATCTGAAGAAATGGCCATATAAAAGGTACCAAAAACAGAAATGTGGACATTTTTATAATTATTACTTTCATTGTTACAAGGCACTTACTAATTAATATCCTTAAGTCAAAGGCCATTAACAACCACATAAACATACAAACTTCAACAATGCTTGGTGAACAATGCTTATTTCTTATAGTGTATCTAAAAGACTTTCCTAAATATGCAGCTCCTTTGTACAACAGCACCCCTACAACTCCAGTTCAGTGAGAGTGCAGTGCTAGTTAGGAATGGACAATGAAGTATTTTGTTGCAGCTGGTTCACAACCATACCATACAAACAACCCCAAAGAACAAGTTGTCTTAAATCACTATTAAGAGCTACTCCCAAACCCATCCACAATATATAGACCTGGGATATATGCTTAAGAACTTCTCTCTTGCTCCAGTAAATAAGGATCCAGTTCAGTAATACTTACAGCCAACATTGGAGTTGTCAACAGGCCCCATGCAAAGAATTCAAGGAAGATGACAATAACAGCATGGTAAACACTTGGCCGGCCAAAGCCTTGTAGCTAAAAAAAGAAAGAAACCTTTTATGAAAAGTAGTAAAGAGATATAAGAAACTCATTATTTTAAAATGGTATAAAAATATAAAAAATAAATTTTGTACTATCCATATTATTTAAGATGAAACCTCACTCTGGTGCTGGGGACGTACCTCTGGTAGAACACATGCTTAGCATGTGCAAGGCCTTATGTTCAATTTAGCACTAAAAAACACCTAAAATCTGCCCCTCAATCTTTTTTTTTTTTTTTTTGGAGGGGGGAAACCTCTCTTCCTCCTAAGCTCCATTTCATGGTATCCCTGATTCCCTCACCTTCCCTAATCATGAAAGGTGGTAAGATTACATACAGGCTATTTGTCCCCTTAGTTCAAATCACTGGAGATCTGGTAGGAAATCAACTAGGTCTTCCAGACTTTGATTAGCCATGCATGGTGGCACATGTCTGTAATCCCAGCACTCAAGAGGGTCAGGCAGGAGACTTTAGAGTTCAAGGGCAGCCAGGGCTACAGAGCAAATTCATAGTCAGTCTGATCCACAGGGCAAGATCCCGCCTCAAAAACCAACTCCCTATTCCCAAAAAAGATTTTGCTAATTATGTGTTCCTCAGTAACTTAACCTCTCTAAGCCTAACTTCTTTAGCTATACAGGAGAGACTAGTACAGGCTTGTCCAAAAGCCTCAGGGGCAGCATGGGTAATTTAAATAATGCCTGGGAACAATAAGGACTAAGTCTAATATGAAAACACACTAATATAATAGCAGAATTCAGCTTTCTATTTTAAAGACTATGCCTAATCTGCTATTTCCCACAGTTTGTGACTTACTAGGATAAAATCTAAAATTCCTTTCAATGTAATGTTCTTTGACTCTGATAATACTTAATGCAAAATCATGTGCTGTTAGTATTGAGCAGTAACTAGAGGTGATACTTGCACAGGGTTTGTTAAACCCATGCTATTCCTATGGTTGTATTTGTTAACATCTTCAGAAGTTAAAAGTAAACTTGGCATAGTTGAACTAGAATCTAATCATGAGGAAATAAACAAATCTGATTATAGAAGAGGCTGTAAAGCAAATGGCTGGTCTCCTTAAAATGATAATGTCAAGCCTGGCTTGGTGGTGGCATGTCTATAACACCTCCCCCCCAGCCCCAACTCCAGGAGTCTGAGGCAAGAGGATAGCAAGTTTGAGTTCAGCCTAGACAATTTAGCAAGACCTTGTTTCAAAAAAAATAAGAAAAAAGGGAAGAAATCAAGTAGGTAGGTCTGGGATGTAGCTCTGTGTAAAAGGCTTAGGTCTAACTCTTCAGTTCTACAATTTATAAAAAGTTTGCTTCATAGAAACTAAAGGGAAGGAGACAGGTCCAGGTTAAAGGAGAGTAAAGCCGTGATAACCAAACTGGGACTCCTAAATGGAGCAGGACTGGACCCAGATGAAATAGGAATAGGAAAGATACGAATAAGAACTACACATTAGGTATATCATACTGTATAAACATTAAACATCTTGGGGATTCTCAATGTGTACAATTCACTGTTAAGTAATTTGGAAAAATGGTGCACATATCTACTCTAAATCAAAGGTCACAAAATATTAACTGCTGGATTTAGATGAAGGGAATGTGTGTTCATTTTACTATTCTTTTTTTTTATTCTTTTAATTTTTTATTTTGGCAATTTTTTTGAAAAACAACTAAGTAAAATTGTTATTAAATATTCAAACTTGTGAAGTCCTCTAAGTCTAATAAGTAGATTGGTTTGTTTGTTTTGAGACAGGGTCTTGCTATGTATCCCAGGCTGGCCTCGAACTTGCAGCAATCCTGCTTCAGCCTCCCAAGTACTGAGATTACAGGCTAACCAGCAGTTTTCAAAAGCCATTAAATTATGAGACATTTGCAAAACAGAATACATTTCACAAAATTTAAAGAATAAAAGAAAAGGACCATCTAAGCACCTAAGAATTGAAAGAAGTAAAAAGTATTTAACATATCAGCATGATCTACAAAAATACCAGTTTTCATTAGCCCTTTACCAAAGGAATGGAAAGACAGAACTATTCCCCCTCCACCTTTGACAAGGCTGTCTGAGACCCCATGTCCCTCCTTCCTCCGCATCTTTCTAGCTCAAGTCAGAAACTTTGTTACGATGCCTGGCTCCTTTCTTACTGTCTGGCCCCCTTGGTCCAATCCTCTACTCTCTTGCCAAAGGTCACAGAGCAGCTTCGAAAGGGGACCCCTGCTTCTACCCTTGCTCCTTCACCTACTGCCCCACAGCTAGAGGGATGGATGTAAATACACACCAGATCCTGTTATTCCTCATCTTGTCTCTCTGACTTCCAGGCATCTAAGTACATTTCCTATGTCCAACAGTAGGTGAATATATCAAGCACCATTCATACAAGAGTCTCAAAGACTCTTAAAACAGCTCACAGCAGAAAGTGTAAGAGGCTATCCTACCCAGTTCTCTTTTGCAGTCTCCCAGGATGAAACTGCCTGCAGACGAATACAGAACCATGAGGAACCCTGACCACAAACAGCACAGAAACCCCATCTGAGTTCCTGACACTGCTTCCCCAAAGAACTACCATCAATGGGTGCTGTTTTAAGACAGTAAGATTCAGCTTAGTTTAAACAGCAATTAATTATTCACTGAGACAAACTCCCTTTGCCGTTCTTATAAAGATTAAACTCTTTTAAGTCTTTTCATGAGGTCCTCTTTATACCTCTCTAATCTCATCCTTCAACCCACATAAGGCAATAAAATATCTGAAAGACAAAAGAATATATTCTCCAGAAAAGCATTACTTTCTATTTTAAAGTGTAGACATGTTGTAGACATTTTTGGTCAGAAAGGATAACAACTATTGTGAAATCACATTTTGAAGCCTAGATTAGAAAAATATAAGCAGTTCACAGCATCAGAGGTATTGGGAGATGATGGAAGGGTGGGCATTATCTGACTTAAAATATAAGTACACAGATCATGTCATGACATGGATGAACCTTAAGAGCACTATGTTAAGTGAAATAAATGATTCACAAAAATACAAATACTATATAGCTCCACTTACATGAGGTACTGAAAGAAGTCAAACGCACAGAATCAAAAGTAGAGCAGTGGTGACCAAGGGATGAGGGACAAGGAAAGTAATTTTTTATAGTGTGAGGGGAAATGAGGTGCTGTTTAATGGATAGTTTCAGTTTTGCAAGATGAAAAATTCCCAGAGACTGACTGGTTGCATAACAATGTGAAAATACTTCGCAATATTGAAATGTTCATTTAAAAATGACTGACAGTAAATTTTGTGCTATGTGTATTTTATCACAATTTTACACACACACACACACACACACACAAATATCTGGTCATGTAAGGGACCTCGAAAATGCATTCTCCTCCTTTAGAGTATATCATAGTCACCCTCAAAAGAAGCTGACAACTGAGGGAAGAGAAGGCTGTGATAAAAGACAGTGGACACCCATATGAATTAAGACCCCACTGCTTTTGAACATAAACCCCAAATAGAAAGAGCCAAGAGCAGCTGTAGATCTGTATTTGTCTTGCAGCTGCCTGTCACATACAGGATACTCCAGGACACACACTGCAGGGACCTCATGCAGGAGCATCATTTGGTCAAAACCAAACGATGTTTCCTCTAGTATACTGGAGGTTACCTGGTAGGTGAATAAGAGGCACGGAATAGAGGACCTTGCAGAAATGGCTAATTCTGGGACTGGGACAGGGAATATATAAGAGGAGCCTGGAGTGGCCTGCAGTATCAGAATATACAAGGCATGATCAAATTATACAGGGCTTAATTTTATTTATTTATGCTTAAATTTATTTATTTAAAATGTATTAAAGTAAAAGACACATTGTGAGATAATGCAAGATGATTCCACTCCCCCCAGCCCACCCATGCTCCACATGACAGATCACATCTTTTCTGAGAGATAAATACCTAACTTAGGAAAGTAGAATTTAATTCAACCTTTATCAGGTAACAGTATTTCAGAAAAATACAAACTTAACTTAGAAAAACAAAACGGCCCAACCTGTTAAGTGACCCTGCTTTGTCCCTTTCTATCAAATCACCCTTACCCATATCTCCTAAACCCAGAGCTCTCTGTATATAACCCCAAACACCCCTGGCCAAAGCCTGGCTCCTGGACTCAAGACACATGTACAGTCACCAGAGGCAATAAAGCTTGTTTTAAATTTTCTTGCAGTTGGTTATCTTGGTTTCACTAGGGGTTTTCTTTGACCTAACAACACTGACATGGCTCCCCCTCAAAATATTTCCCCTTGCTTCAAACATACTTTCCATTGTTCTTGCCTTTTTCTTTCTTTCTTTCTTTCTTTTTTTTTTGAGACAGGGTCTTGCTAGGCTGGTCTTGAACTCACTATGTAACCCAGGCTGGCTTTGAACTCTAAGTGATCTTCCTGCCTCAGCCTCTAGAGTGCTGGGATTACAGGCAGGTGCCACCATGCCTAGCTCCTCTTGCCATTTTCTGAAGCAGTTCTGAAGTTTTTTTTCTTTTAATAAATTTTATTTTATTCCATTCCCCCTCCTTCAAATCCCCTCCCTTCCCTATGTACAAAAGCTTTGTTTCCATTTTTCCCTCTATTTTCACATGGAAGTCTTTTTTGAGTGACTTTACAATCAAAAATACAACAAATGTGGCTGCTGAGTGCCATCCAACAGAAAGGCAGGCTCATAAAAACATTATGTTGTTTACTCATTCACTGAATCTGGGACTGCAATTTCTAGCTCCTCTCCAAAGTCAAAATAACCATGAAAGGTAAACTTTTTTTAATTGATTCAGGACATCAAGGCATGACAGCAAAACTAAAGACACAAATGAGGACTTCTAGAACTGCTTTAGAAAGTGATAAGAACAATGGGATAAGTACTTTGGAGGTGAGAGGGAGTATTTTGAGGAGGATTAATGGCAATGTATCTTTTACTGTAATTTTTTTTAAACATTTGATGTGTTTTTCAATCATG